GAGATTTTTGTAGTTTTAGCTTTACAGCTATGATCCATTTTGAGTTCATTTTTGCACCTACTATAAAGTATATGCCCAATGTCATTCATTTTTGCATGTAGACATCTAGTTGTCTTAGTACTTTTGTTGGAAAGACTATTGCTTCTCCACTGTATTATTTTGACAGCATTGTTGAGAGCTAGTTGACCATAGATGCACACACAGGTCTATTTCTAGAGTCAGTTCTATTCTATTGATCTATACCTATCCTTGGGCCAGTACTACGTCTTTTTTTCTTGTTGCTTTGTACTGAGATTTGAAATCAGGGCAGTCCTGGTTCTCCTATATTCCATGTGACTGACAGAATCAGCTTGCCAAATTCTATAACAGCAACTTAGATTTTTATAGATTTTATTGAATCTGTACATTAATTAGTGAAATATTGCTATTTTAGCAATATTAAATCTTCAAATCTAGCAACACAAGTGTCTTTCTACATATTTAGATTTTTTAAAATGATATTTATAGTTAATAGTGCATAGTATCTATTCTATTTTTGCTTTTAAATTTACTTCTCAATATATAAATATTCTCTCTCTCTCTCTCTCTCTCTCTCTCTCTCTCTCTTTGTGGTGCTAGGTGTCAAACTCAGGGCCTTGCACATGCCAGGCAAACATTCCAGGACTGAGCCACACCTCACTCCATTTATTTTGAGAGGGGTGTTTTACTATGTTGGCCAGCCTGGCCTGGAATGCTGCAAAGACCAGGTTGGCCTCAAAATTGTGATTCTCCTGCCTCAGGCTCTCAAGTGCTGGGGTTGTTAGGCATACACCAGGATGTCTGGCTACTGCTTATCTGTTTCTTTAATTTCCAAGTACAGTCTGGTTTTCAGATTGCTCCATTTTCATTATAATCTGGCCTTGTTATTCCTAAATTTCACTAAGAATATAGAAAGCTTTTTAAAAGAATATTATTTTTATTTTATGTGTATGAGTATTATGCCTGCATGTAGGTAAGTGCACCCATGTTGTGCAATGCCCACGGAGGACAGAAGAGGCTGTTGTATCCCCTGGAACTGGAGTTATGGACAGTTGTTAGCTGCCATGTGGGTGCTGGGGTTCAAACCCCGGTCTTCTGCAAGAACAGTCAGTATTCTTAACCACTTAGTCATCTCTCTAGCCCCTAAGAATGTAGAAAGCTTTTGAAAATGGTTTTCTCCTGGTTCCTGCATTGACTACCATCAATGGCTAATATTTGCTTTAACTTGTTCTTTCAAATGGTGGTTCTCTCTTTAGTGAAATTTATTTTTTGTTTATACATATTTGGGAGTGGAGATCTAGACTGTTAATCACTGGTAATTGACAACCCATCTGGAATTAGAGAGACCACTGTTCAGTTCTCCACAGTGGTTTTAACCTCTGAAGATGGTGATACTACCTTAGAAGTTGGCTTTTCCCTGCTGACAATTGACTGAGTAGAAATGTAGTACCTATTCCACAGAGGAGATGGATTGTTGTGATGATATATAGGGATGCAGTTACCAAGCCTTGAAACAAGAGGGGGGATGGGAAGGATGAGGAAGCAAAGAAATTACAGTAGCTGAAACTTTGCTCATTAACAAGCTTGAGGAGATTAATAACACATGGAACTCAACAGAAGAAAACAGTGAAGTCGGCTGAGAGTCTTAGACTTATATAACGAAGTCAACCACAAAGAAACCAATAGAAGTGTGATAGAATCCCGGACTCCACAAACCAGTGTCCATCCATAAATGGGCTGACTTTGATGTCTCTCAAGAGAGCTCTCCAGTGTCCACTTCTGGTGTGACCACAGAGGATTGTGAACAAGGAAGACTCCAGAGTGTGGAGCCAAGGATCAAAGAAGCTAATGCAAAGCTGTGTTTATCCTTGAGAGCGGAACCAAGAATGTAATCACAGAGCTTGCCCTATGGCCAAGTCAAAGGCATTTACAGTAAACATTTGTAAAGATTCGATCATTTATATGAACTTGGCTGAACTTCAACATTTTTCACTGAACTTGGATATCTAATACAGCGTATCTGTGTAGTAGAGAAACATTTGGAAATCATTAGTATATGAAAGAATAGAAGAATTCATAGACAATGGTAATAATAACATTTAATAGTGTTCAGGAACTAATGCATTGTCTCAATCCATAGAGCCAGTAGCTGAAGTATGAACTATTCTATTATAGGGAGATGGAGTAAAGTAATTTGATCTGGGAACATAATAAAATCTTATAGCTAGAATCCAAAACCATGGTGCCTGTGTCTAGAGTGTTAACTCTTACCCAAACCCATTTCATAATCACAGAAGTTCTCTTGACATGCTTCGGGACATGCAAACCCTAAAAAGGAGAAAAAACCTGTACACAAATTTAGGAATAAGTGAGTGTGCTAATGAAGGTGACATTGGAACCTCTTTCAGTCTGCCAGAATGTTGTCAGATTACTACCACTAACTTCTAACCTTGTTAGGGACCCGTTTACTGATGAATCCCAATACTATCAGTGTGTTAAGCCATCTGGCTCTCAGTAAGAGGCCAATAAATATTTGTTGAATGAGTGAAGAACCCTGTAATATTAGACAAAGATCCTTGAATGTACCATGTTTGTCATGGTATCTGCAGAGTCTAGGGTGCTTGGCATTAACAAACAGTCCTTGAAGTAAACTGAGTGGAAACTGTACTGTGCTTGCGTTTTCAGATTGCTCCTTGTCCATAGTTTCCTTATCTTTAATGTGGCAGGTGTGCCTCTGTCCCAGCTCCACAGGCTTTGCAAAGGCTTGAAAGGATTGTTTTTCCAAAGCTGATCACTGGCTTTAGCTTTTTTTTTCTTATTTATTTATTATTTATTTTTCATTAAGATAGGTTCTTATTATATAGCTAGAAACTCACTACATAGCCCAGGCTAGTTTGAAATTCACAATGCCCCTGCCTCAGCTGCTTCCTGAATGCTGGGACTCAGGCACATGGCCCTGAACCTGCTTTTCTCTTTAACTTCTTGTAGACTTAGTTTGTATACAAAATCAATTTGGAATCTCAGGTTCCTACTTAACTGCATTTTCCACACTTGTGGTCTGTTCTCATGTTGCACTTACAAACTGGCTTATTTTTTGATGTGGTACATTAAACTGTTTATCATCTGCACCTTTTATGTTGCAGCTATTTAAAAAATATTTTATTTATTATTTTTATTTTATGTGTATGAGTTTTATGCCTACATGTAAGTGAGTACACCTGTATTGTGCAATGCCGGCAGAGGATAGAAGAGGCTGTTGGAGCCCCTGGAACTGGAGTTATGGACAGTTGTTAGCTGCCATGTGGGTGCTGAGATTTGAACCTAGGTCTTCTGCAAGAAGAGTCAGTGTTCTTAACCACGGAGCCATCTCTCTAACCCATTGCATCTATTTTTAAAACACAGATTTTATTTATTAAGCCTGTGTTACATGCAAGACCCAGAACTGTAGGATTGCTCAGTGATTGATATAGCCATGTTTCTTGCCCTCATGACATCTAAAATGTTCTTACATGATTTTAATGTACAGACAAAAGGAAACATTGTATGCTATTGTAAAACAGCAGAAACATTTCAGCTCCTTAATCCCAGAGGGAGCAAATTATTTAAAAACAACAACAACAACAACAACAAAACAAAACAAAACAAAACAAAACAAAACAAAAAAACCACTCAGCTAAACATGTCTTCCGAAGGCAGGAGGAAGAGAAAACCATCCAAACTGCAAACAGATTTCTTACTTTGGCTAGTCACACTGAGGCATGTCTTGAATTCTGGTTCTCTGATGATCTCAGACTTCTATTCAATTACTTCCATGTCAACCAAAAGAGAAAAGAGGAGAAATGTATTTTGGCTCAGGAGAAAAACTTTAAAAAGCAAGGCGAATGAAAGTACTGACTTGGAAATCGTATGTGATATAGTTTAATTGACATTTCCTTTCACCTGTGATTGACAAAGAATACCACCACTCTTGGCAAGGATGCCAACCCACGGGCAGCTCCAACATTAAAAATGGGTCAATATTCTGCACTTAGACGCTTCCACCTCATCCAGCACGGGATTGTTTCTTCTAGAAGGTGTGGTCATCTATCTGTGGCACCAATTGCAGCTCAAGAAAACGGAGCTAGCACTTCGAATACCAGAGGTCGTTAGCTGTGTAGCGCCGAGTGGCATCTGTCAGTATCAGGCCACAGCATCCTTCCAGAATTTTTGCCCCTGAAGCAACCCCTCAAGGCCCAGGGCCCGCTGGAAGTGACTGCCTTGGGGGAAGTGTCCCCGTGGTCACGGAGGCTTGTGGGAGCTAGGCAGTGGCCAGTCAAGGAGAGGCCATGGTCCTGGAGCTCAAAGGGGTGCTCATCGAAGAGGTTCAGAAGTGGGCTTTGGCCAGGAGCCTCCAGGGTGGGTTTGGTTTTGTCTATGCCCTGCCCCGCCCTACCCTGGCCTCATGCAAAAGGCCAAGGGCTCTTGACCCACCATTGCCCAGGCTGACTTCGCGCTAGGGGCTTTCGGTCACTGAGTAGTGACAAAGAAGTCACTGCAAGGACATCATTTTGCTCCTTGGCTGCGCTCTTCAGCAGCACTAGGGGGCAATCCTTCTTCCCAGAAGACCCCCTGCGCACGGCCACCTCCCTACCCGGAGTGACCACACAAGTCCTTTGCGCTCTGGAGTTGGGAAACCTAGGCGTGCGGACGGCTCGCGTGGGGGCGCACTTGGAGCGGGCGCGCGGGGCCGGGACCCGGGACCCCCAGGGACCTCAGGCGAGGGAGCTGCAAGGCCACCCGGGGCGAGGACAGAGGCGGCGTGGGTGGGGGGGTGGGGGGTGACCCAGAGGTGGTGGTGCGGGAGGGGCAGCACCTGAGGAATCCGCCTCCAGCCGCGGCGGCCAGGCGCCTCGCTCCGCCCCGGGGAACAGAGCGCGCAGCCCGCGCGCCTGCCACAGAGACGCCAGCCGCCGGCAGCGCTAGCACCTCGGAGGACAGCGCAGCGGAGCCGGACCAGCCTTGGGGTGGGAGACTAGCCCGGCCGCGGCGAGGGCCACCCGGGTCCTCTGCCTCACGGCCCACCGGGGCCAGGTGAGCTGTGGAGGGGCCTGGTGCGGGGAGGCGAGCGCGCGCAAACCGGGTGAGGAGCTGCCTTTGGCAGGCCGGGCGCCCTGCCTTGCCCCGCTGGGGTCGCGGTGACTTTTTCCTTTCTGGAGGAGCAGGGCTGTGTCCCGGGAGTGCGGCGTGTGGCCCGGTGCCAGCCCGAGACCCGCGGCGGTCTCCCCGGCTCATCGTTCTCCCGGCGGCCAGGGTCTCCGCCGGGGCCCGGTGCGCTCCGGGGCCACGGGCCTGTCACCCGCTGCAGTGCCGCCTTTGTGGCGGGAACCCGGCAACCCACGGTGGGAAGAGGGAGGCTCGGCGCGGCTCTCGGGCGCAGGAGCAGAGGGAGCGCGCCCTGCTGTTCCCAAAGTCCCTGGGCGCGGAGAGCCGGTCCCCGGGGCATCCGAAGGACCACAGGTAGCGAGGCACAGAGGTGACCACGCAGGGGGTGGATGGGGCTGAGCGTGGGAAAGTTAAGAGCGTCCAGATGTGGCCAGGCGCTCGCTCGCTCAGGGTGTCCATGGGTTTCTCTCTTCCACGCCAAATGTCACTTGGTCACGAGTGTGCGCGCATGTCTTCTGGCCATCGTTTCCATTTTTCCGAGTGGCTCAGGGTTGTTCTCATACTGAATGAGACACAAAGGGTTGCGTTGACAGCTGGCCGGGGAGCAAGTAGACTGCGAGGTGAGGTGTGCCCTAGCCAGGCATGGTGATGATGAGGGCTGATGGTCAATGGATTCCTGCAGCCCTTCTGAGATTCACTAAAAGGAAAGTCTTTGTATAGATTCGGTGCATGGAATTTGTCTTGTAAACCAAGGCCAAGTAACGTCCCGTCCCAGGACACGCAAAAGCTGATGCCTTTGATGAAGGGACGAATGAACCCTGGAAAAACTACCCAGTCATGTTCATTTTTTTTTTTCTATGAACGTTGACTGTTAAAAAGGTCCTTCTCCGCCCCAGTCGGGACCTGTATCCCTGGCTAAGATTTAAAAAAAAAAAAAATCCGAGTTTTAATGTCTACTCTTCAAACCGTGAGATTATCCACACCACCTTACTTGAGAAACTACTCAAACCCCGTTTGGAAACATAGCCTTTTAACTGGAGGTTGTTCAAAAGGTTTTTGAACTTAATGTCTCCTTAAACACCACTCATTCTTCCTTCCTTTCTGCCCCAAGTTTTGCCACTGTTTTGGTTCTTTTTCTTTCTGAAAATTGTGGTGCAATTTTACATATTGCAATTTGGAAAACTTATTTAAAAGGGACAACATTAAAGTAGTTGATCCACTGAAATGGTAATAAAAGTTACATGCATATAAGTATGTATTTTTAAAGGAAACTTTTAATCACTATTGAGGAAGTTTCAAGGAGCAGTGAAGAACACATGGTGCAATTAAACTCTCTTCCATGCATAATCTCATGCCCTGTTTCTACTTGGTGAGGCAACCATAGTTGTAAATTTGTATGTATAAACTCCTTTCAAATGGAAGAAAGCTTTCAAATGGAATCCTTTGAAAGTTTCAAATTTGAGCTCCTTTCAAATGGAATCTGAGGATGAAAGGAAATGAATATAAGTTAAGACTACACGTACCTAAATTAATATGTCTACTAATGGTGACAGTTACCAATTTGATAACTTCTTGTATGACATCAGAATCTCTTATTTGGCTTAGGGTGAGTGCTTATTATCTTAAAGATCAATTAAAATACTAAAAAGCTTAGAACAAGTGTTTAATGGGAAGCAGACCACAAGTTTCTTCACACTAGTTTTTTTTTTAAAACTAGTTTTTCCTCTATCTTGGCACTCTATGAAGTAGAGAAAGAGAACCATAGTTACTCTACTGGCCATGGTGTATGTCTGAAAACATCAAAGGACACTTGGGTGCACCCATTGACATGACATACATAACACAGAAACTGTCAGAGCTGGCGATGTATCTCAATAGTAGGCACTTGGCACGAGGCTCTCCAGCACTTAAAAAAAAAACGTCAAGAGAAATATGGAGGCCAAGTTTAAGATATTTGGTCACATCTCTTTGTCTAAGGCTGAGAGTTGCCATGAACTAACTACACAAAGTAACTTTCTTGGAAATGTTTTCCTTTCCTGCCTTCTTAGGAAAATAAAGGAATTGAATTACATGGTTTTTAAGACTCCTCTGATTCTCAAATTCTATTGTTAAAATAGGTGTTCTAAGACTAGCTAGGAATAGCCAGTTGGACTGGAGATAATTAGAGAGTGGGTTGTTAAAAAGATTCTGAATGGTAGATTCACAAAGAGGAGGTTAGGGATGTTTGAAGTACATTCCTGCTCTTTTGAGTTTGATATCTTTGGAGAACAGCTACTTGACTTTCCCACAAAATGTCTGTTTATGGTGCTGATAGAGAGGTCTGGGGCTGAATGGGCCTCTGCATGTCACCTTTGGGAATGAATTCTCTTCACAACTTGCAGTGCCATTTTAAGGGAAATCACTCCTATCAAACTCTTGCTTTTCTTTTTGTTAAAGCAAAAGTCAAGACCATTTTACCTGTTTCAAAGTCTTGACAATTTACTTAGTAAGTCTCAAAAGTATTTAGATTATAAATGCTCCTTACAAAGAAGATACTTTAGTTACTATGTAAGTATACATTCATGTTTTCAGTAGGAAACTTTGCTAATCTTTAAAACATACATAACCTCTGAACTGTGATTCTTGGGTGGGTGTAGAAGTGGGAGAATGATCGCAAATTTGGGAAAGTAAAAACAATTAGCTTATTTGGTCACTATGTAGGATCTCAATTAAGGGATTTTTAAAAGTACATTGAAATAGTGATTGCCAAAATCATTGATAATAAGATTGAGGTCTATAATGTAAATTATAGTGAAGTCTTAAAAATGCTTGATTGGGACATTAAGATTATTAAGTTAAAAGAATACATTTGCAAAGGTACTTAGAGTAATCTTGATTTACTGTCAAAACTCCTCTCTAAATTAAGTACCAATAGTAAAGTTCTTCTTTAATAGCTTTTCCAGATCTTTTAGCAGTCTTGCTATATAAATGTGTATTTTTATAGATGTTTAATATCACAGATATATTTTAGTGTGTTTTTTTTAATTTAAAGATAGTTTCCCTATTATTCATACTCATTTTGCAATAACTTATGCAATGGACATTCCATCATTTAATTAACTCTTCCCATTTCAGGCTTTTTCAGTAATTTAAAAAATCTGACCATCCTCATAAATCTAACAGCCCTCCTCCTCCTCCTCCTCCTCATGTCCCAGAGAGGTACTATAGTTTAGCCATGAATAGGAGGCTGTGGACTTATATATTCTGGGTTCAAACTCAGCAACATCGTGTAATGCCAATATTGGTCAACTAACTTAATTTTCTCAGAAATTAGCTTTCTTTCTTTTTTTTTAAAAAATTATTTATTTTTATTTTATGTGTATGAGTGTTATGACTGCATGTGTGTAAGTGCACTAGTGTTAAGCAATGCCTGAGGAGGTCAGAAGGAGTCGTCAGTTTCCCCTGGAACTGGAGTTATAGATGGTTTTTAGCCATCATGTGGGTGCTGGGAGTTGAACCCAGGTCCTCTGTAAGAGCAGTCTTAACTGCTGACCCATCTCTCCAGCCCCAGAAATTAGCTTTCTAATCTATAAAATGGTTATAACAGTTATTTTCTACAAAGTTAAGATAAAAAATAAAGACACTTGAAATTCCATATAAATGTTCCCTCTTATTTTTATTAGGATATTTTTAGATTTCTAGTAATTTGAAACAAATTATTAGTAACTTGGTCAGTGTAAAATTGTTTCCAGTTGCTTTGATTTGCATTTCTTTGGTCTTGTGCACAGGAGGACTAGCCCCCCCCCCCACTCTGTGTTGATATAGTTTTCTAAATGGAGTGGTAGAGGCGTCATTGCTTCAGTGATTTTGAGCTAGACTGTAAGGTGGACATATAGGGAAGGTCGGTTACAACATTAATGAAGAGTATATAAATCTTTCAATAGTCCTTTTCAAATGAATTGTTTTTATTGTACTTTAAACTCAGTGTTTGTTAACTTATTTTAAATCTTAGAAAACTTACTGTTAAAATTAATGACTAATATATGTATATAAATCTTATTTAAATGAAAACAGTATGCTCTCCTTTTCCTTGAATGGCTGTTTTATAAATAGTATTATTGTGATCACAGTTTGATGGACTTTCTTTTAAACTAGAAATGCTTCTAAAAACTTGGAGAAAAATCAGTGAGAAAATTGATGACCGCCAATCAGGTTATCTTTCGGCTTCAAATGGATCATGAAGTTGTGCTTTCTGACTCAAGTTCTTATATAGTCAAGGTAGACTGCACAGGAGCCTGCCTTTGTAAATTCTGGAGTCGCAGCAGCCCTGATATTTTTGGCAAACACACACCCTATGTGAATAAAGCAGCTCTTTGTGCCTTGAGCCCCAGGAGGGCTCTTTGTGTACTCTTCCTTCCCTCCCATCCTTGACTGACTGGTGATAGCCACTCCCCCAGGTCCAGATGTTAAGTCCCATAATGACTTCTGCCCAACTCTGTATTTACCCATCAGTGCATGTGCTTTTGTTCTGTCTATTCATGACAAATATATAAAGAACTCACTATCTCTTTAAAGTTGTAGGTTTCTGATTTAATTTTTCCCCACTGTGGTCTCTGAAGGCAGTCCCTTATAGTAGAGCCTGTAACCATGATCAGTAGAGATTAACACATAATCAGCACTTGATGAATGTTTGCTGCAGTGAGCCCTGTCTTGACTTAGTTTCCCTATTCTGAACATGATCCTATTCTTAGGTACCATTCTTGAAGCAAGCTTCAGTTGAGCCCTGTATTACCATTTTCTTGTATTTACAAGGGTTAGGAGTTAGGAAACATTCTTGTGGCTCTTCTAATTTCTTGTGTACTTAGGGGAAGTTTCTTGACTTTTATGCTTTACTTGTCTTCTGTGAAATGGGATTAATAACAACTACTTCAGTTACTAACTTTTTGCAC